ATTGAGGAAGCAAAATTGTCAAAGGAGGAAAGGAGGAAAAAGATGAATTTTTTTTGTAAAGAAATTTGATGTGGGCGAAAAAAAAAGAAATTATTATTTTTAAATTAAATAAAAATGCCAACTCATAAAAATGATGGCCAACTATACTTTTTTTTTTTCCTTTTCTTTGTTTAGGCCAAAAAAAAATTGATTTGCTGGCAAATGAACGTGCTACCTGTCATTTAACTGACGGAATGACCGTTTTGGTACTGAAAATGGAAGTTTAAGGATAAATTTAGTATTTTTTAAAGGTGAGGGACAATTTTGGTGCCAAAGTGAAAAGTTGAGGGATTAAAATGGTACTTAAACCTAAAGCCATCTTAGAAGGAATAAAGCCGAGGTTGGGACAACACAAGGCCAGGTGGGCAGACGAGCTCAACAACGTCATTTGGGCATATAGAACTACGAGCCGAACTGCCATAGGTACTATTTCCAACCCAAGCTACTCTCATTCAACTTTTATTTTCTCACTTGCAACTCTACCCTTAATCAAATATGCATAATATGTAAAGCATATTCTAAAGTCTATAATTTCATGAAATAGGTGAAACACCCTACCACCTGGCCTTTGGTATCGAAGTAGTGATTCCTATTGAAATAGGAGTCCCAAGCCTCCGGGTCACCCATTTCGATAAAGGACAAAATGGACAACTGCTTCGGGAAAACCTTGATCTGCTTGCTGAAGTCAGAGAAGAAGCACGGCTTCGAACTCTTGTATGCAAGCAGAAATTAGCCAACTTCTACAACAAACGAGTCCGTCCTCAAACATTCAAAGTAGGAGACCTTGTTCTCAGAAAGGCTGGCCTAACAGGGTTTGAAACTCGTTTTGGCAAACTGGCCCCAAACTGGGAAGGCCCTTATACAGTGGCCAAGGTGCCACATCCTGGTGCATATGTCCTCCAAGACACTGAAGGAAAGAGAGTTCCTAGAGTCTGGAATATCAATAACTTGAAGAAATTTTACCCCTAATAAACTTCTTTCAAGTGATCTATGTCTTACTATCCTTTATATTTATTACTTCTTGATTGTTGAGATTCATTTTACCTCTTATTCTGCATTTCCAAGGTCAATCTGTTTAAAATTCATTCCTTGAACTTCACTTGTCTTAATGAACGTCACTTCGCATACGAAGTGCTTTACTTCTTTTTAATTTATCTGAAGTGCTTTACTTCTTTTTCAGTTCATCTCCGAAGTGCTTTACTTCTTTTTCAGTTCATCTCTGAAGTAATTTACTTCTTTTTATTTCATCTCTGAAATGATTTACTTTCCCTCAAGAAATATCCGAAGTAATCTCAGTTCTTATAAAACAACCAAAACGTAAAACAAACATCACAAATGATTTTAGAAACGAAATTGTCATTCAAATCAAATAACAAAAGTATCATAACAAATTGTTCTAATGTTATTACAACAAAAATATCAAAGAAAAATCAAAAACCAAAAATTCTTTATTCCTCTACTGGAGGAGGTGGCTGAATTGGCTGCTGCTTAGCTGGAAGAGGTGGCTGTGTTGGCTACTGCTCGGCTGAAAGAGGTGGTTGCTCATCGTCAGAAGGAACTAGATGAATCTCCACTTGTAGAGGTGGTTGACTCTCATCCACTTCAACTCCTTCCACCCTTGCCCCCACTCCATCTTCCTTTACCTCTGCCCCTTCTTCCTCCACTGCAACGAACTCGAAGTCAAAACTTGGAGGGAAAACAATGCGTTCGTCTGCATCACACTCCCACCTCAGTTTAATCTAAGGATGGAAGTCTACTGACATGCTCTCACCAT